TCAGGCCTTGCGACCACGCAGCCCTCATCCTTGCCGTTTCTCCCTCCCCTGGAAATCATGGGGAAGATCAGGTTCGCTTCAGCCGAAACCACAGGCGTTCAGGGAGCACTTGCCCTGCACTCACTTATGCAGGGCTGGGCCTGACTGAGCACCACGAAGGCTCTGGCGCTGCCCTTGGTGCTGGGATGTGACAGAAGACCAGGGACTGCCTTCCAGGGGCTCATGGATCACTGAGACTTCAGGGACAGACACAGCTGAGAGGAAGGGATGGGGCTGGGCCAGATCTTGGAGGATGAGAGGGAGGCAGCTGGACAGGGGAGAGGGGGCTGTTGCAGGAACCCTTCCCCTGAAAAGGCCAGCAAAAGCAAAGGCAAGGAGCTGTCCATTCGTTTATTCAATAAGTCAAGTACTGAGCAGCTGCCACCAGCCAGGCCCAGCACTGTTGGTGCTGGACACAGGGACACAGCTGCACAAGAAGACAGGGCCCGGCCCTCCAGGAGTCCTGAGAGAATTTAAAAACACTTATTAATCTACTGTGAAAACACAAATACCTTACATATTAATAGAACTATGAATACTTCCACAAAACAACCATGTTTTCAATAACAAACTTAGGAGAGTGGCATTATTTGACACTTCTACAACCCTTACTAACATCTGGCCAAATAGCAGGCAGCTGGATTCTCCCATTGGCTTCAGGGCTACCCCTCGACGGCCTGTGTCACAGCGTCTAGAAGGTACACACAGCAAGGAGACGGGAGTGGGAAAGGCAGTTGGACCTCCAGGAGCCAGGGACCCACACCACACTTTAAGAGGCACTTCCCTGGAGGCACCTGAAAGCAGAGCTCACGCATCTCTTCCTCAGGGACGACTGGGTTACAGGAGCAGCAGCCTGCGTGCCCGGCTCGGTGGAAAGGACGGGACTTCCACGGGCCCGGGGGCAGGGTTCACTGAACAGCCTCCTGCCCTCTGCCTCTCTCCAAGGGCTGCGCCATTTCTTACCTTGCCAGGGCATGGCCTCCCTTCTGGCCTCTGCTTCCAGCCCCTGGACATGGAGACCCTGGACATGGATGTGGGGCCTGCTCAGATGCTACGAGACTCCTGCGGCTGCAGACCAGATTCAGTGCCCGACCTCAGCACCGAGGGCCCTTTGTGGCCCTGCCCTGGCTGCCAGGCATCTACCTTTCCTCCACTCTCCTCAACACAACACACAGGGGCGTGGCCCAAGTAGGAGCCATCCCAGAACCTCTGTGGGTCCAGCTGCACAAACAGTGGCTGGCTCCCCTTCTTCCTCGGTGCCTCCTTAGCTGACATCTTGAGGTTTCCACGTGATCCACCTGTTCATTATACTTTATAGGCGTGTTTTCATACATTCTGCAAATACAGGCACACCTCAGAGATGCTGCGGGTTTGTTTTCAGACCCCTGCAATAAAGCAAGTCACACAAATGTGCTAGGAAATATAAAAGTTGTTAGATCCTGATTCCGAAAAATCAGCTGTTAAAAAAGGCATTTGTTGAGACTGCTGGGGAGTTTGAATATGGATTGGGTATTAGATGATGTTAAGGAATTATTGTTAATTTTATTAAACGTGGTAATAGTAAAAAAAAAAAGGAAGTATAGAAGTGATGTTTCAGGGAAGGCATAGCCCAGTGGTAGAGTGTGTGCTTAGCATAAATAAATATAAATAAATAGATAAATAAACAAACAAACAAATAAATAAATAAACCTAATTATCTCCCCCCCACCAAAAAATAGGAAAACAAATGCTTTCTTGCTAAAAAACGCTATCATTTGAGCCTTTAGCAAGTCATTATCTTTTTGCAGTATAGTAACATCAAAAATCGCTGATCACAGGTCACTGTAACAAATATAATGAGAAAGTTTGAAATGTTGCAAAAATTTCCAGAATGTGATGCAGACACAAACTGAGCAAATGCTGTTGGAAAAGTGGCACCAATAGACTTGCTGGTCACAGGGTTGCAACAAATCTTTAATTTGTAAAAAAACGCAACGTCTGTGAAGCACAGTACAGCAAAGTGTGCCTATACAGTGTCTGGTAAGGGTCTGCTCCCCACCAGGGGCTGGGAGGCAAAAGTACCAGGGCCCAGTCCCTGTCCTCGGGATGTGTGGTGTGCAGCAGAGGAGACAACAGGACCCTAGCAGCGAGCCCAGAGCAAACAAGGGCAGAAGCCGCATCATTCCAACCGTGCAAATCCCAGGATGCAGCACTTCACCATCTAGGGGTTCAGGGCACACCCCAGAAGAAGCCTCATTGCAGCTAAAACCCAACTCCTCCTCAGCATAGGAGTTTGGCAGATGGAGGGAGGAGGGGGCCCACTGC